GGACATTATTGTGTTCACCATGTGTTCTCTGAATTGTGTGTATTTTATTTTTATTTTATTTTTCACCCAAGCATTTATGAACAATAAAGTGCTGTAATTGTGACTTTTTACAGGGCCGGATGCTTTACCAGACCCTTGGTTTAAGAAATTACTAATCTTTGTGTACATCTTTTAACATTTTCCTGAAAATTGAAGCTAAAATGAGTTTGGAAAACCGCAAAATTCAAGTTGGTGGAATACAGCTCAGGGGTGGCCAAGTCCAGTTGGCGAGAAGTACCATCCTGCAGCTTTCAGATGCAGGGATAGTAGCTGAGATGACCATAGAAGAAGGTTTGTTTTTGATTCTTTGCGGATTTGAATCATTTCTCTGTTCAAAACAACCAGTTTTAAAGGTTCTTTTCGTTCAGTAAGTTCAGGATGCCGTTCAGTATGCTGAGGTTTTCAGGGCCGCAGAATAAATGGTCCCACAGCATCAGATTCCCCCACTGTGGTAAACAGTAGACATGATGTTTCAACCAATAATATGATGACTGACAATATACTAACGTTTCTAAGCCCATAACATTTTGCAGATAATGTAATAAGTTACTATGGTGGTCAGTTATTGCTGTAGTAGCAGAAACCAAAAAAAGGGGAAAAATATATATATATATATACGTATTTCTAGCAGCTTAAAAGTTAAATGTTTTGTAAATATTTTTAAAATATGTACATTTTAAGTATCTATTATGCAAATTGACATACCGACAACCGGAAGTGGACAGCCAAAATAAAAGCTGTGAATCTTAACTCCTGCTGCCGATGAGCCAGCGCGGCCTCCGTAGCTTTAGATTCACTGTAACGCCTGCATTTCTGTTAAAATGACTCATCTCCTGTTTTAAGCTGAAATGTTGTACGTGTTGAGAGGAGACGAAAAGAAATGATCATACAAAGGTGACCTGAACCAACAGCTGAATCTAATCAGGCACACCAGCAGAAATGTATACAAAGGTTTCAAGTCTACGCTTTTATTTTGGTGATTTACTTCCGCCTACTGGCAAGCGAATACATATTCAGCTCTGAGCTGAATATTTTCAGCTTCAAACATTTAGCTTGAAGCTAAATGTGTAACTAGCTAACTAAATATTATTATAATAATATGACTTTGAAAATGGATCGTTTTTTTCTCTCTTGACAAACTAAATAACCCAAATTATTGTTCATTTCTACTTGAGTAACTTTACAAACGGAATCCTCTTGAGATGACTTCCTACACAGAGTTGTCTCTTTCAAAGATAATCCGATATTAACCATCCAACAAACAAAAAGACACTTTAATTTCATGTTGTTTTTTGTTCTGGTTCTGTTAGCTCTATGATTGTTCTCACGTTTTTCACAAGTGACTAATCAGAACTGAATCAGGACTGAAATATGTGTCTATGTCTTGTTATTTTAACAATAACAAGATAGTTAAAATTAAAATAACAAGACATAGACTTCGAAAATGTACTATTTGTCATAGAAAAACAGGAATATATATAAATTGTATCCATTGGAAATCCATAATTAGATGAAGGCAACTATTACAACAGTTACATGTTCAATATTAATGTTAAAATGTTCTTTATTAACTTGGGTGGGGGGAATCACAGAGGCCCAATCAAATTGGAAATCGCTGTGGGAAAGTTTGAGGTTTCTCACCACCTGCGACCTCTTAATGTAATATTATTATATTGTAATAATAATTAAACACATTTAGAATATGTATGCATTGGAGATGTTTGTATCTCAGTAAATCTTTCACACACAGTACTGTACATTGCCCTATTGGGAATATTTTGTTCTGGTTGTGGCCCTCCCACTTGGCCATGTGGGCAGTTACCCAGGGCAGCATCAGCAATGATGGTGCACAGGCACCAGATACTGCAATTGAATATAAACTTTCTCAGAGTCAGGACATAACTCCAGATGTTTGGTTGGGTTGGCAGGAGGCAGGGCTCACATAGAAGTACCACTGTTTAAATGTGCAAAAGACAACACTAAACCCCATCCTGTCGTTCTTGAGGTTGCTCTCTGAAAAAAATACAAAACTATCTCTAACTTTCCTCATATCAGTAACTATATATGGAAGAGCTGCTGTGAATCTAAACTTATTAGTCATGCTCAGATGAATCCTATCTTTGCAACTCAAGTTTCTTATGAGAAATTGGATGAACATCTTTATATCATTATTTTCATCACAGTGTTGTCCTTTGCCCCTGTGGAATGAATAACATAAGATGGATGGAAATTACCCCAGTGCAAGGGAGAACCTTGGCTGGCCAGGCCGTGTTGCTATGCTGCTGCAAGGAGGGAGAGGGAGAGAGAGAGGCCTGGGAGTCTGTGGGGGAGGCGGGGGCCTCATCTGCAGTGCTGTGTGCAGAAGGAGTGCTTAACACCACTGAACGGGGGAAGAGAGGAGAAGAAGAGAGGCGAGGGGGAGGCAGAAGGGTGGCGAACGGAGCTGCGAGGGGGAGGGGAGGAAAGTGGGAGTCGGAGAACACAAGAGAATCTAAGATGGGTGATAGGGAAGGAGGAGATAGAGGAGATGGCAGCAGTGGGGGTGAGTCCAAAACTGCGCCCCCTGTGCATGGAGATGTGGTACAGCAGGGGATAAATAAGTGTGATCTTAGACACAATGAAGGCCTAGTTAACTGGCTGGACTGGTCATATCGACCAGACCAGCTGCCCAAATCCACCTGAATAGGGAGGGAGGGTAATGAAGTGACAGTCAGGACAGCAAAGGAAGCGGGACATTTCCACAGATTGTCCTTCACAAGAGGAGTTAATATTCCCCATCTGGACAAGCATTGGTAATGGGTACAACTTCATTGACAATCACATGCAACTATAAAGGACATGTGCTGTAGATGTAATCCTTTATTCATACAGGAATAATCTCAAGACTCATTGTCTCATTTACAAAAGAGATGTGTGACATCACAGAAAAACAACCCATAAAAACAATAATACTAAACAATTCTACAAATCAATACTACACATTGTCAACAGAAGGGTTGTCAAAGATCAGGGTGCAACGAAAACTGGGACAATAAGAGAGGGAGACAGACGAAGGGAGGCACGCTGCGAGGACTCCTCCTTTGCAGAGCTGGGTGATGGAGGCTGAAAAAGGGAGGACTGGGGTGGAGGTGGGTCTAGGGAACGCCGGGGGCCGGTGGACAGGGACTGCTGCAGGCCTGTGCACTGCATGTCTCCTGCAGTTACATTGGTCTTGCTGCACAATACAAACAACACAGGGGAGGAGGAACGTGTCAGGCCGAAACATTGAGGAGGTAAAAAAATACAATAAAATGGAAATGTGGTAGAATGGAAAAAAAGATGTGTGCTTTTAAACCTTATTTTAGTAGGACTTACATTTTTGTCCATCCCTCTTTGCAAATGAGTCTAGTCCAGTCAAATTACATAAAAAACATCTGAATATTCAAATCTTGGCACAGCTTCTCAAATGGACTTAGTCCTAGACTTTGATTCTGTCATTCTAACACACAAATCTGCTTTGATCTCACAGTTCTACTGTTGATCTGCCTGGATGTTCTAGTTCCTTTTTCTGATTTAAAGATGAAACTCTTCCAGAGTGATCTGCAGCCTCCAGGTTTTCTTGAAGGACCGCCATGTTGTTAGTTCCATCCATCTTCCCATCAACACTAACCAGCTTCCATGACGCTGCCACCACCTTTCATTGTCAGGTTGATGTTTTCATTTAACTGGAATTTGGACAAAACTATTTTCCCCAAACTTCATTCCTGCTCTCATTGTCAACAAAAATAACTAAAATTCCCCCCCCCAAAAAAAACTCTGCCACTTCTTTTGGTCTTCATAATTTCAAATGTGGGCTTTGAATCTGAAGTAGATGGTTAATAAAATGTTTTTTTGTTAGTTTTTTTTTTTTCAAATTTGTTAAAAAATACCACTTTGTACAGTAGACAAATTTTTAAAAAAATCTTTTTCACATATATTCTAATAGTTAAATAAAACAAACACAAAACCATCCATCCATCCACCCACATCTGGCCATCCAGATGTGGGTGGATAGGGAGAATTTTAGAGACCAATCAACCTGACAGTTCTAATTTTGGACTGAAGCCAGAGTTAACATGAAACTAAAACCATGTGCTATTTTTTCACTTGTTTATAATAATCTATGCAATGCGTAGTAAAGCACAGCTAATTTAATTTGACTTACTTTTTCACAAAACACCCTGGGTTTCACTTTGTGATTTTTTTGTTGTTGTTTTTTTTGTCAAGAGCAGCGACTGTAGTTTCTGGCCAGGAGGTGGCACTCTAAGAATAAAAAATGTGGTTAACAGTTCCTGCCTTTTTAAATCAATATTTTTATATCATATTGAGATTTGTAATTTTTTCATGATAAGATGTATACAAAATAAAAGTTATTTTAGAAGGCAGCAGACATTAACCGCATTTCATCCTGCCTTCATAACTATTATTTTTATCAGAACTACTATCATTATATTCCTGGATGTCATAAATAATGATATTTAAATTGGTAGTAATATAAATTAAAATATAATTTCCTAAATAACGTTTTTTTTTCTTTTTATTGTAGTTTATGTTGCAAAGATGAAGTTTAAGTGTACTTCGTTGGTTTCTTGTTCAGTCTTATTTTGACAGGCTAAGAGTTAGCGGCTTTTATTTTGAAGCCTCCAGCTCTCCCAGTCCTGAGAGGAGACAGGCAGCCGGAGGCAGAGACCAGGCCAGCTCAGACACAGCGCAGGCTGCCGCTTGGATAACATCGGAAAAGATAAGAACTATGAGAGGAGATAAGTTCACCAGCTGAGCCGAGCTGGCTGACAGCAGTTGTGACGTTCTCGACACAGACCTCTGAAACTGGTGGTAGCCGAGAGTTCCTGGGATAGTTCGGGGTCCCGGTGAAACAACTTGTCTTTTCGGACACTCTGCGGTGGCAGCAGCGGTCGCTGAAGCGGCGGCGGCGGCTGGAGCAGGGCGTAGTGAGCGGGCTTTGGCGGCGTCGATGGTCCTGGTGCTAGCGAAACATGAACAAAAACCACCGAGTACCGAGCAGCCGTTCTCTGAGTGCCGTGGAGGTGAAAAGCAAGGTGACATATATACTTTTTACTGTCAGTTTTACTTTTTCTGTGTGCGATGCTAACTCACTGTGGTGATTAACATTATTACTCCTGCTAATTTAGCCCGCTAAGTGGCTCGGTAGCAGGTTGTGATGTTCCGAGTACAGACATATAAACCTGAGCTTTCCGCGCGGTTGTTTTGTTTTTACTGTGGGGAGTTCGTTGATAGCTCGACACATTTTGAGGTAACTATTTCGTGGTTGTATCTGCCAAGTTTTATGGCTGGCTAAGTTTGAAGGTGGAGGTTAATGTCAGCTGACTCCGCAGCGAGCTAGTTTCACCTGTCACTGCTCCTTCCGCCGTTCCCTGCTCTCTCAGCGAAGTTGTGTTGTGTAACTAGGATACAAGGCTTTGCAACAAACGGAAACATGTTTCAGGCGTCGCAATAAAACAATTTATTAAATGCCTATTATTTATCTTTTTTTTTCCAACAACCCGTGACTTTAACATATTGGACTTGTGAACTCTAAACAGTCTTTTGGATTATTATTAATACAAACAGAGAGCTAATGTAGTGATGTATTGTGCAATCCACACCTAGAAACATGTGTATTTATCATAATTCAACATTTTCTACAATATTTAATTGTAAATTTAAGTTACATAGAATTTTATGCTTTGAAAAAAAAACTTGCCTCAATTGTTTATTCATTTGTTTATATTGCTGCCTCCCACAATGCTATGCAAATTTACACGAGGAAACCTTTTGAGGGAAAAGGGAACGACTTCAGTCTTTGTAGTTCCAAGTAGAGACAGACGAAAAGCTTCAGGTTGCTCTTTCTGGCCAACAGGTCACAGTTTAATTTGTCAAACCTATAATCAGCAGGCAGAGGACCTATTTAAATGCTTAAATGGTAGACATCATTCTGTATTAATATGGTTAACAACTATTAATTGTGACTTTAACTAAATGTGTGTGAAATTGCTGCAACTTATTGTAAACAGAATTGTTGTAATGGAATGATCTTTCTGGAGCATTTCTATGTTTAGACAAACACTTTCATATTTTAGCAACAATATGTCACCTGTATCTAGGCCTGTCACAATAACAAATCTTGACCTGTCCAGAAGAGAGATTCTCAGAAGGTATTGTGATAAATGTCTATATTGTTGTTTTGTGACCATTTTCAAGTAATAAAATGGTAGTGACATAATAATGCCAGAATCCGTTCTCAGAGACCAATAAACTTTAAATTCAGATCAACGTCTAACACTGGATCTAGAAGACATTTTAAATATCCAAAATAAATAAACAAAGCAACAGAAACGGCAAATAAAAATAATCATAAGCCTCTGCAAACAAAATTGTCTGTCAAAAAAACAATTGAGACCAAAGCACCAGACTGAAGACTTTTGTTATCCAGTTTTTGGTGGAAAGAGAGAAAAGAAAAATGATAAATCCTGCAAATGGAAATTAATGAGCTTGTTTTAATTTTTCATGGAATTAACTGATTTATTGCTTATTGCATCAGGCCTACCGGTATTAAACAAACAGAATTAAATGTTTTTGTTTTTTTTTTTCTTTTTAAATGTTTTTACATGAACAGCAGTCATTTGCTCCTCAGTTAATTGATGCCATAAATTCAGACTGGATAGCTAAAAATTAGATGTAAAAGTCAGACTATTGAAGCAGCCAGCAGTGCATTCTAACTGTTTTTCTCCAGACTTCCCTGTAGATACTGAACAAAATCATTGTGTGCTCTAAAGTCCGACTGCTTTCAACTTAATCTCTACATTGCTGTGCACTGATGTGCAACAAGCATCCAAGTTGGCAGTGAATTGTAGCTTTTTTTTTTGGTCCACCTGGGCAACAGTAACCACAACAAGCACAACTTGTCAACATCAGCAGGGAGGCTTTCTATGTGCTGATGAGATCAGACGTCTATAGTTTGACCCTGTCTGCTATTATGCTGAAAATCAGGTTTTATTTTGTTAAATCAAATTCCATAAGAACACATCCCATAATTTACTGGATTTGTAGTTTGATTCCTCAGAATAGTTTAGCAAAACTCCCTTGATTCCCATCGCACACCTTTTTCTGAATACGTTTCCGCTCTGACCTCTCCGATATTATCCATGTTAATATTCATACTGTGATCTTGTGTCCTGTCCCAGTTTGGCGCAGAGTTCCGTCGGTTCTCTCTGGATCGCTCGAAGCCAGGCCGCTTTGATGAGTTCTATGGCCTTCTGCAGCATGTTCATCGCATCCCCAACGTGGAGCTGCTGGTGGCCTACGCCGATGTGCACGGCGACCTGCTGCCCATCAACAATGATGACAATTATCTCAAGGCCGTCAAGAGTGCCAACCCTCTGCTGAGGCTCTTCCTGCAGAGGAAAGGTAACATTTCATCTACTTCAGGTTCTGCGTGTTTTTTAATGATCTAGCTTAGAAATACAATGCTGGTTACGGAACCGTAACACTTTTACTCTGGACAATCAAAAAGTTATAGTTTTGTTGTATATTTGAAATTATACATACACAACTCCTGGAAAATTTAGCATTAAAATATTTGTCGACCAAACAAGAAATGTTTTATCCAGAAAGAAAGGCAAAATATAATGAAACAATGTTAAAGGAGAGTCAGTTTTTGAAAAAAGTATTAAATGAAATGTCATGTTGAAAATTAGTTGTACTCTTACCAATAATAATGGGAAAATGATTGGCATTACAGCAGTCACACCTTTCTTAGAATTGTTGACCAGGGTGTTGCATGTTTCCACTGGGGTTGTAAGATGAGGGAGATTCAGATGAATCTAAAATAGGAGGAAAATTATTCTGGTTTGACTGTTTTTAACCCTCCCTGACCAGGTTTTCTTCAGTTTGAGTGATTGCTTTCATTTGGCCGATACTTTCACGTAAAACTGATCTTTTCCTCGGATCTTATCAAACTCTGCAAACGTTGCAGTTTATAATCATCACCCCACTATTGCCTACTTAGCAAGTTCGTGGCTATATTTAGGGAATTTTCAGAAATCAAACATTTTATTAGCCAACATTAGAACCAACCATAAAGACCAGGCTTCACCAAAAACTGCAGTCGGTGAACCCTTTGAATAATTATATCTTACATGCTTAATTGAACTCTGCATATGTTTTATTCTTTAGTTCATTTTTGAAATCTGTTATTAGCTCTAGGTCAAAGGTTGCAGGATTTTAATGGAAAATGCCAGGTGTGCATGTGTCACAAAATCCTTCTTGCTCATCTGTATTTATTTACTTTAATTAGGACTCAAATGTTCTTCTCTCGTAGTCCTCCCATTACGGTGCATGACAATTTCCAGCTTTCAGAATATATGATAGGTTTCAGTGAGTTTACTTGTGAGAGTTTTAAAGTTAATGTTTCTCATGTTCAGGCATTGCAACACTTTTCCTGTCTGTTTGGATTTTTAACCCTGTGAGTTTCCAAGTGTGACCTGTTGAATGTTGGGAGGAGCCCACGGTCTGGTGGCCAAGGGGGGCTGGGGAAGTGGGGTTTAAGCTGTCTCCTTGTGCCATATAACCCTATAGAAGCTAAGCCACTTTGTCAGGAGGAGATTAGCGAGGTGAGTGCGTAGCGCTGCATGGGACGCTGTTTGAATTACACGCTCCAGACACAAGCCCCACGCTGGGTTCACTGCTGTTCATAAATGCACCGGAACAACATGAAAACACGGCGGTGGAGCCAAGCAGGGAGTGCACATCACTCACACTCTTAGGCATGCGCTGAAATAAAAACCAACAACGCTCGCCCATCAGTGCAACCACAACCCCCCACAGACCCTATTAACCTCACACTCCTGTCCCCCACCTGATTTGTTGCCCTCCCTGCTCTTCACCCTACCAGAAGGCACCAGTCGGGATTAAGTTCACAGTGTGCGGCTGCAGTACATTCACTTTGTAGATGTTTCATTCATTCAACACTGACTTCTTTTTAAACACCTCAGTGATACCACAAGTGGTTTACTTTGAGTCTTCTTCCCTTTGTCACAACTTCCATTTGAAAGAGTGTTATTGTTACCAGACCCTGTCTGGATACGATGAGTTTTCTGATCATAAAAAGATGAGATGTTTTAGTTTCTGATTAAGCTTGCCGAGATTTTTATTCCTCCTTGGAGCTGGAGTTTCTAAGCTTCCATCTCACAGAGCAGCCCTCCCCAGCAAAGCTCCCTTCCAGCTCCTCCAGAGCAACAAGCAGCAGTTAGCAAACACCTGATGGAGTTATGCATCTGTTGAGCTCATTATAGGAGCTACTTCTCAGTGCAATGCTGATAAAAACGTTGATAAAGGGTTAACAGAGGAGCCTTGTGATAACTTCTCGAAGACGGAGTTTCAGAAAAAGTAGCCGTTTTTAAAGAGACAGAGGCCCAATTTCAAGGCGCTAATTACAAAGTCAAACATTTTTTGAATCATATTTGATACTTTTCGTAAACAAATACATTTTTATTACAATCGAAGGTAACAGATACTTAATTGTGCTCTAAAAGGGCACTATGTGGTTGCAAAAATAAGAATACTGCCACTTTAAGTGATCTTGTTTGTTCTGAAGGAAGTCAGGACTGCTCCGATCTAAAAGTGTGGATATTTAGATCTTTGGATAGTCCTTGAAATCGCAGTGTGTATGTGTTCATTGGTGTTCTGAGGACAAATGACAGTGCAGCCTGTTGAATGTGACGTGTGGGGCAATTTTAAATAAAGAAATCAAATGACTGCCAAGGTGGACTGTAAAGTTTGGTGTACTTTTGAGTTATTTCTATATTTTCTGTTAAATATTGTCCACAGAGGAATCCACTCCTAACCTACTGCTAATACATTTGAGATTCACTTGTCATATTTCTATAAATTGTATAAACTTTTAGACAGATGTGATGTTATTACTGGATAAAGCAAACCTTCAAAGCATTGGCAAAGTGCTCCTCTCCCTTCGTGGAGCAGTGAACTCTTATTAGAGGGCTTAGAAATGTGTTTAGCTCTGAAATATAAACAGCTCTGTCTCCAGTTACGCTTGTTTATCATTCTCAAACTGGCAATTCCACAAGCTGTGTGTGTTTAGTCTCAGTGCAGATCCGTTTGCAGCTAATGAGGATTGCTCCCGATGTGACTTTTTATTCTGGGAGACTGACTCGGGCGTTGTACACTAGCTCGGTGATCAATGGGTTTTTTCATTTCTGCAGACATTTTGATAGATGCACTGATGTGAGGCTGCAAGTTTGTGGCCATTTGCTTTTTCTAGAAAGAGTTTTTTTTTTTGTTTTCCTGTATATCAGTTAATATAGACTAACTTTTAAACTTGCATAAAGTGCGATGAATGTGTTGATGATGACTGAGCTGGCTGTGATGTGTTCTGATCAGAAATGTTTTTGCATGCATTGCTGGTGTTTTCCAACATGTATAATGTCAATTTCTAGTTGTCAAAACTTGCCGTGTTTGGAAAACTGCAAAAACTAGAGAGAGGAAAAAATCTCCTATGTCCCCATTTTTGCTTTGTCTTTGTTTTGAGTATACGCATTGTTTTTTTAATCTTGCAGATTAAAACTATATACATATTTCTGATTTTGAAAAAATGAACTTCAGCTTGTTTAGTTCATATACTCGCTCGTTTTCAAACTTTAAGGGTTGTGAATACATTTGGCGGGTGCTCTTAACACTTTTGACTTGTGTTTTGTTCTGATGTACCTAAACCATAGGCACTTTATTTTTCTAGTTAGAAAAACACTTAAATGAATTATGGATATAGTCATGAAAATTTGACTATTTTAAATATATCCGTACCAAAAAAAAATCTACGAAGCTACCACGTTGAAGTGTTCAAAAACTTACATGCAATTACAAACACCATTTTATCACTTTTAGCTTTCACTTTTGGTGGAAATAGCAGTCCCTGTGGGTTTGAATCCATCTTTTTTCATGCCACCAAGCTTTACTGATCTGCTCATTGGTGTATCAGTGTTGTTGTGCAAAATATAGAACAAAAACAAGAGTTAAAGGCCCTGTCTAATTGGCCACAGTGCTGTATCAACACTGACTAAAAAGCCACTCAGCTGGAAGAAACAATTACTTCAGAAGCAATATAAAAAGCCAAATTACTGTTAATAATTAGTCAGAGACAAATATGTTAGTTTCTGTAGAGATGTCCTTTTGTCTGATAAAATTAAAACCTGGCTGTTTGGTCACATGAATTTCAACCTGGCCATCAGTAAGCAAAAGCAGGAGTTGTGAATGATGACGGTTAAATCATAACCATTGCTCATTAAAGCAGAGGGCAGGAATGCTTGGATTCACAGTCCCTCTTGAGAATGCCTTAGGATTTAATAACCAATACATGCAGGAGTCAGAGTGGGGGGAATGTACACTGTGGTTTCAGTACACAAGCAAAGCAACGCATCAAGTCTGTTGAGAGGCAACAGTGTAGAAGCAGAGTGACACTAATGGAGTGAAAAATTCACATATACAGAGCAAAGTAGAGTAAAATAAAGGTGAAAACAGACAAAACAAGCACAACAAGGTATGTCGTGGTGCAATGGAGTGAAATCTTTAAAGCTTGATGGACATGAAAGTGGCAGGTGTAAAAACCATGCTCCTTCCCTATGTAGCACACACCTCCAGTTCTAAAGTTTTCAGATCAACTTTAATTACTCCCAAGGATGCTGAGGGAGGGAACGAAGGATTCAGAGCACTTGAGGAGGAATGTGTGGAGGAAGCAGTGCATATCTTAAAGCTAATGAGAAAGACGGAGGGATGGACGGGAGGCAGAGTAAACGTATTAAAGCAGGAGTAACGTAGAAGGCTTGTTTTGGTAAGTCGTGTAATTAGTGATGCAGCGAGACGAGAGCGAGGAATCTTTAAGTGTGATAGGAATGCACTAGGAGGTAAGAGGAAGGGAGCAGGATAGTGGGAATAGTATTAGTGAGGGAGGAATGCAGAGAGAGGCCCAAGATAGGGTGGGTGGGAGAGAGAAAGAGGGGAAGAAATGAAGAGTGGGAGGGAGATGGGGAAGCAGAGGAGGTGGAGGCGTTCTGGGTGGTATGTGGCTAGCGTCTGATCACGTCCACTGGGTAGATTAGACAAGACAGCAGGCCAGACTGGACCCTGAGCTTCAGAGCACGGCTCAGTCATCAAGGGCTATAAACGGACAACGAGAGACTGGTGGAGAGAGATTTAAAAGGAGGACAAAAGCTGAGAACTTATTCCTTCTCTTGTGATATCCGACTTACTGAAACTTTATTCGAACTGCAAGAAAATGGAGGCAGGGAGGAAAGGGAGCAGATGGGATACAGGGGTATTAGGCTTGCTGAGTTCGTTTAGCTCTGAAAAGATGAATGAGTCAGAGCAGGAAGGAAAAAGGGGTTGCTGTAGGAAAA